GGCGTGCAGTGGTATTCCACCTGGGGGGCGCTGTGCCACCCTTACCGGCATTACTCCCCCCTCCACGACGCCGTTCACCCTCTCCTCGAACTCCCGCCGGCCTGATGACTGCTGTACGAGCGCGGGAATCCGTTCTCTTCCACTGGACGATGCCGTACAACTTCTCCTTCGCCGATGGTCCCGATCACGGATTTACGATCGCTGCCACCTTGTCCGCGCGATCGATTTCTTCCTTTTGTCGATGCTCCGGCGATCGTACGCGACCAACGATCGAATACGAATCTTATTTAGAAACTCATCGATCACCCTGAGTAATCACCGCGAGCGTAGGTTCACCGTGGCCAATAAATCACTGCACTTCGCGCGTATACTTTTGCTCGTCCGCGAACTCGAGCGACCACGTGCCCTTGGTTAGGGGCGGTTCGGACGGAAGGGACGGGCAGCTCGTTTCGAGTTTCTCGATACTCCGACTTCGAATCAACATTCCCGAGACGAGTCCAGCATCGAACGCCAGTGTTCTCCTCTTTCACTGGCGGGATTCGTTTCGACTCGCGTAACCTTATCGCGCGATTTCTTCGATCCCGAACCGGAAAACGCACTGTACGCGTGCCACCTGTTCGCGTCCACCGTCACAACTATCGTCGAACTCGAGGATTACGAAATCCCCGAGGAAACGATCCTCGAAGAGCACTCTCTTCCGGTACACTGTTTCGACGAGGCGTATCTCGTCGTCGACGCACTGCGAAGCTCCGTTCACCGTGGATTATCACACACTTTGGTCAGGTTGTTTTTGCCGCACAACGACGCGAACGCGATCGTTTCGCTCGACTAAACTATTCTACGGGCGAGTAAGAACTAAGCAGCGGCGGCAGCGGTAGTTAATGCCAGCGGTCAGCTAGGCATCCGCGGGGGCACGTGGCCGTCACGTCGTCGGCGTCGCGGTGCGCACCTACGTCGCGGACCAACGCTCCTCGTCTCCCGCCGCCCATCCTGCCGGCCTTCTTCTCCTCCTTCGGGCAACGCTTGCCACCGATTCCCGCCGGGAACCTTAGCATCCCGTGTTGCGCGGTCGCGTCTCAGTCGCCGCTCGGCGACCCGAACACTAAGCCCGCGCGAGCACGCTGCTGCTTTCCGACTGGCTCGCCGCGTTTCGGCATAGTCCGCGCGACGAACGCTCACCGCTCGAGTGCACTATTCCTCCTTGTTTCGCGAACGCCCACGATTTCGACTCTCGATCTCCTCTTCGACGTTCTTCGAAACGATTTGCCGCCAGACGATCACTCAAGAACACTGCGAGCACCGTGATCGCGCGCGCGCGCGCACTCTCGTGTACACACGCGATCACCACCAACGTGAACAGAAGAAGAAGAAGAAGAGGTTGCAGGGTGGAAAGTAACAGAGAGAGAGAGAGGGAGAAAGAGCGAAAGCGGGAGGGAGAGAGCGAGAACACGACGCGGGACAACACACGTAGCAGCGTGTCACGAAACAACCTTAGACACCGTCCGCGAATGCCTGTATACTCGACGAGAGCAATCGCGTTACTGCGGAGCGGCAGGCGTGGCGGCGCTGCCGTCGCGTTCGAGCTTTCGAGGACAGACACGACNGCTTTCGAGGACAGACACGACCCGTTGGAAGGGGAGAGCCACGCGAGGACACCGAGTGGGAGAAGCCGAAGCGGAGCCACGGCGAAAGGAACCTCGGAAGGGAGCGAGGCTCACGCACGCTCCGAAAAGGTGGGGAGCCACGTGAGCGTCCGATGCCCGACAATGCCCGACGATGCCCGCTGCCGTGCCGCTCTGTCCACGGAACCAAAGCGACCAGACGCGAGACGAGCCGTGCCACCCCTGGCTACCACCGAACCCCTTTTTTTCCACGACTTCTTCGCGCGCTCTTTCCAAGGCCCCCAGTGCGCTTTTTCAATCCGTCGATTTCCTTACCATCGATCGAGCAGAAACCTCGAAAATATCTGCGAGACCAACCGGAGAGAAGAAGCGACGACTGTCCGAAGGGATAAGTCTTCCTATTTGGCAAACGATGTCCTATCGAACGTGGAAGCCGTGCGTTCGTCAAAGTCCACTAAAAGCCAGTTTCGCTCTCCGAATCGCCGGTGGTCCCGAGGAAACGGCGTAGAATTGATTCCGTTAAGATCACAGAAGCCCAGAAATCCGATTTATCGCGTTCGGGGTCAAGTTGAACGCATTTGTACGGGCGTGATGAAGAAGAATGGTCTACTGCCTTGACGCGCGGCGCGTGCGAAAACGACTACCATCGTTCCTTCAACCTTTCACCTTATCAACTTTCTTTCTTTTCCAAACTCCTCCTAATCCAATCTTTTTACCCAACCAAACAAATTCGAGACTACTTATCGAAATTATCTATGCTATTATACATTTAATTAAGGAAATAGCAACATCGAAATTATCCTTTCCCTTTAAAAGAGTCCAACTTTTCGCGGTAAAATCTTCCCGGTTTTTTCCTCGTGACCATTTCTCTTCATCCGGTTAATCTTCTCTTCGCTGCAACCGACGGGATCGTAGGATATTTCCTTACCGGACAGAACGATATCGAGTCGATTACTTTTTAATCCTAAATTACTTCCCTCGTAATCCACTTATTAAGGCCGGCCTTTTTCGAAATCAGATTCGCGAAAAAATGCTCTCCCTTCCATCTCTAAATTTGACACAGGAATCGTATCAAGTATTGTCTCCATATCGTATACATTGTTAGTGGGTCAATTTCGAAACGTAAGTAGAGACCCACTACGGTAGCTCTCTATCACGGAAGTGTTACGTAAAAAATTGTGACGAATCAAATGGAGAGTACTCGAAACGAAGAGCGCGTAGAACAGGTTCGAAACGGTACAAAGCTAATAACGAGGCCCTAACCGCGACCTAAGGAACAGGACAGGGACTCAGGTAACTCGGTACTCCGGCTCGCAGGTAGAGTTTGAGACAACAGGTATCATTGTCCGAGGGCCAACAGTGCCGCAAGGCGACCGTTTTACAAAGCGCTGGAAATTCCAGGTACCCTCCCTCTGTCCTTTCACGGAAAATAAACTTTTCCTTCCACCTTCCTCGCTTCGTTTATCGAGAATCATCCAACCGGCTGATACAGTTTCCTCGATATAGAAGAACGCTCGGAGACGCTCGTTTTCTTTTCCATTTGCTTCCTTCGATTGGCGTCACTTGGTCAGTTCGACTTGTATATTCGGCGACGAATAAAACGTTGTACTCTTGCCGAGAGAATTTATTACCGAAGCTTTTATTGCGCGTCCAGTAATTTTCGGAATACCGTTAGGTAGGGTCAGTTCTGGTTTTTAGGGTCGCTTTCGAATCGTAAACGCGTTCGAATGCAATTTGTTCGCAGTTGCGATGTTTCTTCCGTCAACGTAGTTTTTTTCAGTGTTCGATTATGAGCGTTAAATTGAACATCGATCAAGGATTATTCGGGATTATCAAACGTTCTATGGCATATTAATCGATCAGGTTCGCCCACAGTCGCATCTAAGACCCCATCTTCAGGGGATTTCCAATGAAATTTCCTTCTGTATGCGTGGGCGGTGCATGTTTCTGGTCTACGCGACGACCTTCTAGCAGAGTTCGGTCCTCGGATAGAGTACCAAGAATTCCCTGGGACCATTAATCTGCTGCCTGCGACACCCAGGGTCCGTTCCCTCCCCCCTTTTTTTCGTCAGTCACCCCCTCTCTTTCGGGCCAGGTAAGCGTGGCCCAGACCGATCCGTGGCATTGTCCGAGAAACGTTGGTGAAACGAGTCAGGTTGTTGCACCGATCAGAAACCACTATCGCGACCGGAAGCGACCACGATCTTCCAGTTACAGGGAGCTGGAGGGGTTAATTGCTCCGACAAGAGGGTGAGGTGCGTTGATTGTCGCGGAGAACTCCAGAATAAGTTACCACTCGTGAATCAGATCCTCCGTTTCGTATAAATTTGCATAAATCTGTATTTTAAAAACGTAAATCGCGGTAAGTGTCGGAGCGTTCTTGCAATATTTCCGCAGGGTACGCAACGGTTAACGGACATCGAAGTGATACGATCGTTTTTTGTTCCCTTCTCTAAAGGAGTATAGTCACGGTGAAATACTCGGGATTATCTGGGATAATTTTGGCTACGGTCGAGGGTACTTAAACCCTGCCGGACAATGGATACCTTTAGCAATATCGAACACTTCCTTTTCGCTACCTACAAAACTGAGCTACGAGCAGTGATCGAGTATCGGAAGTTACGCGAGTTTCCACGCGGCGAGTAGACGCCGGTCCAGCTAGGAATGTTCAGGTGAATCGTCGAAAGTTCGTCGGATCGAGCAAGAAAAGGTAAGGTAAGGCAAGCAGACCGACAGGCGTCG